ATATATATATATATATATATATACACAGTATGTATATACATGTATATACACACAAATACGAATGTGTAAAAAGCTGCTTTTCTCACCTCATGCCATGATTTCTAAACTCTCGATGGCACTGAGATGAATTGAAGTGGGTGGAATCATTATGAGAGCGGTGCAGGAGCAATGCAGAGAAAGAAATGCAGGAAAGCTCTCCCAGCAATCTGTGGGCCTCAGCCTCCACTGCTGGGCCGAGCCTTTGTGCGATAAATCAATTTCCATAAGGGGTTTATGAGAAAGACAGCCATGCTTATTGTTCTTATTAAAAACATGAATGTGAGAGATTCCATTCATCTGAGGTCACAGTCAGCTAATAATTTCTTCAGGCTGGTTTGCAGGGGAGCTGGAAGGGTGATCTGTCTGCAGCAGGCCAGATATGTGAGTCAGGGGAGAATAAGTGGCTGTGTCTTTTAAGTTGGCAGGTGTGTTTAGTCTTAGCCTTAGCCTCATGCTCGTGGCTGTGTTAGTCTGCCACGCTGAGGAAAGATTGGTGTTGCACCGTTCAGAAATCAAAGAGATGGATTTCCTGTAATAGTAAATTGCTGCTTTTGGGGTGGTGCCACTTTGGTGGTTTAGGTTTTAATCAGAAAAGACTGCCAGCAAGTGCAGATTTATGTGTGTGCTAGGTGTCCATTGTGATAAAGCCAATAACATAAACGTTAATAGGAAATTTTTCTTTGCACATGTGATTAGCATTAATTATAAAACGTTAAGTTTAAGCTCTGATTAATTTTTTCCCCATTTTTGTTCATTTATAATGTGAAATGGACCACATTTTTTACAGCATACATTTCTAGTCCTGTCAGCCACTTCAAGTTTTTTTTTTACATTACCCCATATTTACTTTTTCGCAAACACACTTATCAGCAGGGGAGACATGAGATTTCCTGCTCAACTTGCTGTAAAATAGCATTCAAACATTTTTTTTGTGGGGGAAAAAAGGGACTGAAATATTTCAGGTGCTCAGAGCCCTGAAAACTAGATTAAAACAGCAATTTTCCTCTAGGAAAACTTGCTTTTGCTGACTTCCAGTTGTTTAACTTTTCACTTTGCTGGTAGGATGTAAGACTATACTCCGGGGTGTGTCAGTACTCTGTGATATTAGTGCCACCTATCACTCATACCAAGTGTATTGAGACACAAAATTCATTGTTCCTAATCCCCCTTTCTCTCCAGTTCTGCTCCTGTTGTCGAATCTGGGTGGGTTTAGGTGTGTATTATTGTGTATATGTAGGTTTGTGTGTTCGTTCATCTTGATCTTGTTTCTTGGGCTGGTCTGCTGGTTTCGTATTTAGGGTTGGGGAGCAAATGTGCTGTTGGAGTGAGGTGGCTGAGGGTGGATGTGCGAACAGATATATCTATATCAATTGGTGGTGGGGTTTAAAGTAGCTTTTATTGTTTTTATTGCTTTTATTGTTCTTATTTTGTAAAAGTGGCCCTTTTTGTACTAGAAGGACCATCTATAAAGATAATAATTGGATGAATTGCTCTGGTGGTGGAAAATGTTTTTTTTTCTTCTCCTTTTTTTACCTGATGTCTTGGGCTAAAGGCCTGTCTTTACCGCTTTTGAAAAATACTTTAAGTGTTTTATTTCAGTCATATTCTAACTTGCATGGCCCAGTTCTCTCATATTTATTTTCACCTATTTTGCTTTTACACATTTTGATCTCATTAGCTATGGGTGTTCAAAAATGTCAATGACACATTTTCATTATTTAGCTCACTTATTAAATTCTAGTCAAAAATTTAATTTCCACTGATATTTTTATTGCTATTTATTGCTGTTCTTATATTTTGCTATTTTTAACTAAATGTTAACTTTTAATGTCAGTGTCTAAAAACTGAATTCTAAATCTAAATATGAAAAAAACAAAAATCTTAAATATGGCAGCAGCCTTTGCTTTTGGTCTTTGTTCCAGTGTCGTCATCCTGCGACACAAGCATCTGCTAACATTGCTAATGCTAATAATGCTGCTAAAGATAGCATTTAAAATTTAAATTCAAAATGAGTTCATTGAAAATAATAGATGGTACCTGTGGTCCGGCAGTTTGAAGTGCAGCTCAGATACAAGTCTCAAGGTTGATGTCTTGTAAAGAAATTTTAGCAGTGTTAGCAGCATTAGCGGTTGCCTTTGTCACAGGATGATGATGTCATAACAAGAGCAAACAAAGCGTAGCGACGGCTGTGTTCTATTTTGAAATACCTCAATGTAAGCTTTAACTATTAGTCAAGACATTTAAGATTTTACTTTTCTTTAAGATTTGCATGTAGGGTTTAACATTTAGACATAACAGTTAATATCCAAACTTAATAAAATTAGCTAAATGTAAGAACAGTGAGCTAAATAATACTAAAGTGTTAGTGGGAAATTCTAAGAAGGATTTTACACTCAGAAAGTCACTCGTAATGAAAATGTGTTTGAAACATGTTTGAACATTTTATTTTAAACCTGGCCTCTCATAATTAGCAAAGTTTCTTTGGTTTGGTTTATTTTAAAGTGAAAACTTACAATTTTTTCATCTATTGTCCAAATTATGCCTTATTTTCTGAATAAAACTCAGAGGTAAATGCAAAAAATGTTGAATATGTTTGTGTTCCCTGTGTGCCAGGTTTACCAAAGATGATAGTGATCAGAGACTACAGTGGTATCCCCAACCCCCAGTGCGGGCCTCCGCTGAGCATTCATGCGGGAGATGTCATCGAGTTGATGTTTGCTGACCTGCAAAGCTCCTGGTGGCAGGTGTGTGCCTTTCTGCTCATTTTTGTTTTATGTCCACATCTGTGACTTGTTAAAACACGACACGTCAGCGCTCACCTGGTTAGTGAGATACACGCAAAATCTTTGCTGAATCAAATTATCTTTAGTCAACTGCCTCCCCTCCCAAATAGTGACCAGGGAAACATGTTTAAAAGCCCCCAGTACAGTGACGTCAGCAATTTATCTCTCTGTGATGACGTTTTTTTTTCTAAGATAAACTGCAAACTGGCCTGTGGTTGTTCATCACATTCTGTCTGCTGTCAAGATGAGCTACAATATATGGCAATGAGGTCAACCACAGTTAGAAGATTTGTATTAACTTCACTGGACCCTAGTTGCATTTCAGATGGGATAGCCGACCTGTCCTTCACTCTTTACTTTGAATCCGAGCCAACATAAGATGATCTAAACAATTAGTGGCTTCAGTTGATTAATGGCGTGCCACAGCGAAACAATAAAACACAAAACACTTTAGCCCCTGGTGGCTGCTTTAATGGTGGTGCGCAACCTCATGTCCTGGCACATTTAGCAACCCTCTCACGACATTGGGGTGTTTGACCTTATCTATTTTTGAAAGGATACCGTTATCTGGGGTCTTCCAGGAGCCTGCCTTGCTGTTTCTAACTCTACTTTATGGTGGCATTAAAGCCTCATCCTCCTTCTGGTGCTGCTCCAATCAGACTGCGGTCTTTGCCAACGGCGTGGCTGGGAGTGGGCAGTTAGCCCAATTTTCCGTCGCTCCATGTTTCTCTCTGTCGTGACATAGCACAAGGTGGAGGGTGAGGACATGGACGCCCGGAGAGTTCATGTAGGCTGGTTGAATGGCTACCAGAATGTCACGGCCCAGCCCCATTGCCAGTGTATTGTTTTCTGCCATGGTAACAATCCATACTGGAAGGGAATAGTCTGAGTAATAATGTGATGACACACATTTGTGTATCCGTGCCTGCTGCATAATGATACTGTAAACAGCTTAACTAAAAAGCTAGGGGTAGAGCGGTGTTTTGATAAACATATTCCCACATTGTTTGCACTGCTTGTTCCACTAGGGCTCAATTAAAGCTGTGTGTGGAGGGAGTGTTGATATAAAAGCACATCTTAAATATCTTTTGGAAGTATGAATATTTGCTGAAGCAGTAAAAATGTTGAAGTTTAAGTCTTTAGGTCAGCCAGTGTACTTTTCAATCATGTATTTTAATTTATACAAAATAAGCAGAACAATTTTTTTCACAAGAATATAGTATAACATTCAGAAACAACAGAGAAAAAACTGACAGAGTTGCATAGTTATGTCAGTTTTTCGATAGCGCTATTAGCATTTGCATATATATTTTTTAGCTCTTTAACATCGCTTAACTCTATAGCAGCCAAAGAAGGCTACACAACAAACTTTAAGTAACGGCAAAAACCACCGAAACATAATGTTAACTAATTAGCATTTTCTGTGAAAGTGCATCTTGAATGCTTAATGTTGACAATTTGTTTTTGCAAGAAAAAAATACAAAAATTTTCCAATTTGTTGTAAAAAAAGTTATAAGTAACAGAAAAGAAGTAGCTGAAAAAGTTGAATCTAGCACAACGATTTAGAAAGAATATGTTTGCTAAATTCAGCAGTAAGAAGCTGAAATTATCACAAAAAACTGAATTTAGCAGTAAAACAAAGCTGAAATTAGTAGACAAGCAGCTGTGACATAACTGAAAAAGCTGAATATAGCACAACAAAATAGAACGCAGATGCTGAATTAAGCAGTAAGAAGCTGAAGTTATCCAAAAAAGTGAAGTTAGCTGTAAAAAAGCTAAAAGTAGCATAAAAGTAGCTATAAAGTAGCTGAAAAAGCAGAATAAAGCACAAAGAAATAGATAGAACACATTTGCTGAATTAAGCAGTAAGAAGATGAAATTAGTTGAAAAATAAAAAAACAGCTTAAATTAGCTTAAATAAGCTGATAGAAGTACAAAAAGTTTTAATCGGAAGAGTAGCTGAAAACAGCAGAAAGATAACTGTAAAAAGCAGAAAAATATCTAAAATTAGCAAAAAATAAGCTGAAAGAAGCTGACATTTAGCACAAAGATGTAAAAAAGCAACAACAAAAAACAGAACTAAATTGAAAAGTGCAGTAAAAATTTATAAACATTTTGAAGGGTTTTATGGATGTCCATTCATTTTTATTCAGAAAAGAATGGCTGAAAAGACTAAATTTCGGAAAAAAGTATAAATTTCTGAAATACCAAAAGTCATTGCATTGTTGAAATTGCACAAAAATTGCAGAACAAGATATGCGCAAAAAAATGAATGGAATAGAAAAACAGATAATTTCATTAATGCAAATGCGATGAAGCATTCACACAATAAATAATACTAACCTCTTCAAATCACATCAACTTCACTGTTCCCAAATATGAGGTGTTCTCGCCCAGGTCTGTTCTTATAGATTTTCAAATTTGTACTTTATAAAGTTGGTGTCGAAGTAAATTCAAATCAGGAACAAGATAAATTAAAAAGGACATGTATACAAGGACATAAAAAAAGCATTAAAGAGCATCCGCTTAGATGAACAACTAACGTTTAATAACTTAATTTTTACAGCTTAATTTCTTTGCCTCAAAGTTTTGATTGTTTTAATATTTTCTGCTGGTTACAGTGTCACATATAAACTTCTGGTGGCAGTAATCAGCTGTAAATATTATATATACTAATAAAAAAGACAAAGAAGAATTTGAATTAAAGAAAATAGTTTCAGAGCCTGCACTAAATGGCTTCAGTTCAACAAGTTTGAGAGGTCTCATAGTTACACACAATATGATTTGGGGAAAAAACACTGAATCTTAACAGAACCTTGTTTGTTTACAATGAAAAGTCCACAGGGTGCCTTTAATCTTCTGCGTCCCCGGTGGCGCCAGAGGATGGAATTACAGAACAGTGAGAATTCATATCCCCTGTTACCCAGAAGGCAATTATCCCCCATCCCCCTGGCAGAACAATACAATCAATCACTGTAATTTCATTTGATCCTCTGGCTGCTGCCTGTTTATGCCAACAGAGTAATAAGTTTAATCTTTATCATACGCTTATCGAAAGCATAACAAATAGAGAAGGGCTCTCTAAAAACCTTTGATGAAATGTTATTACACAGAATGAATCATAGAGATGGGTTAAGATTCGCTTTCCAATCTAGTTACTGCCAGTGCAGTGCATGGCTCCAAAAAGCATTTTATACTCTAATAAAGAGGGAGCGAGGAGAAAAAACACAAACAGGGCAGGAAGCTGAACGAAGAGTTTCCCTTGCCCTCAACGCTTCTCATTTTCTCAGGTTCACTCAGATTTCAAATTGAACTCGAACTCAAAGTTGTAACCTCACATGTCAAGCTAGATATATATTTTTTCCTGCCTAAACAATGGTAAATTAAATCTATGCTAAGTTAAACTAAAAGCTACTTTATATTCACACTAGAGTGACTGGTTTTACGAATTTGGTTTATTTAGATAGAGACTAAAGTTTGCCTTTTACGTGCTTCTTTAAAGATTAATTTACATATAAAGCCTGTCAACGCTTCAGGCAGGTTTCCTCAAAAGCACTTGTGCGACTTTAGCGTGAGCCGGAGCTCACACTGTTTGGATATTAAAAGACCAGAATAAGATTCATTATTTAGTGTTAAACGGGGCCCCTTGTTTTGATGCAGTACAAATTTAACTGCCGGCAGAGTTTGAACCGTAATTAACTTGGGCTGCAATTTAGATGCACTGCTTGTTGTGTGCTAATTGCTGAGGATTTACTGAAGCAAGAGTGGGAGTGGGGGGGAAGGAGAAAAGGAGGAGAAGGCAGGGAGGCAGAAGCGTGGCTGCACCCAGACAAATATAATGCGATTAACACGCGGTTCCCTTCGCAGGGCAAAGTCGTGGCGACAAGCAAGACTGGCTTCTTTCCAAGTGACGCTGTGAGGCCTTGCCCATGTGTAAGTGTTCATGGTTATTCAAATCAATAAGACAAAATTTAGTGTGATTACGGTGCATTCAGCAGATAATGGCTACTATTGATGTCTTGCCAAAGAGATGTAGTGCTTGGAATTGCTTTTTCTTCACTGGTAGAGACTTGTTTTAGCCATTAGATATGGCTTGAATATCACATTACCACTAATGACCTCCACCCTCTGTATTGACTGTTTAAAAACACAAAATAACCACAATTCTTTTCTCTGCCAGGTTCCAAAACCTGTCGATTATTCTGCACAGCTCTGGTAAGTGGCAGAAAAAAAAGAAAGAAAGAAAAAAGATGGCGTTTGTGTCGAGCAGAATGTGTTCTAACACCGTATTGTCGACTATATTGACTGCTCTCATCTTCATATTCAGAATGATTGATTGCAGTGTAAGTGCAGTAGTTGTTTATTGATGGTTCAGGTTTGCAGGGCCAATGGAGAGATACCAAGCTGAGGTGGAGCTCCTGGACAGAGAAAACGGCACATATCTCGTTCGACACAGGAGTAAAGAGTGCAACGAATATGCCATCAGTATAAAGTGAGTGACATGATGACTTTCTATCTGTTTATTTCAATCACAAATCTCATTCAGTTCTGCTTTTTTTTTATCAGAAATGTTTGAAAAAAAAATCCACCACAATCTCAATCTTATTGGCAAAATCACTTTCTTATGAGAAGCAAGAGACAAGCAGGTGGTAATTTAAGAAGTGTCAGCCTGAAAATATCCACTCAGTACAACAGTTTATCTGAAAGTACGGTATATAGCTCATATGTACTTCCATAAATCTAGACCTATTCAACTAAATTGCTTAAGGGAGCACAGTTGCTCAAAGACAACAGCTCAGGAGGGAGACTGTGAAGGTGAAACACTGTATGTAACAGAACAAGTATTATAACTTACATTTTCAACTTTTTTATTTTGTTGCATTGAATATCAAATCTGCAATTGATTTAAAATTCATTTTTGTATTAGATTGCGTGGGGGCAGTGGGGGAGTCATTGCCAGGCCAGATAGAAGTCACACACGGGCCAGATGTGGCCCGCGGGCCACCAGTTGAATAGTCCTGATCTAGAAGCTAAAGCAGATTGTGTGGTGATTTGTTTATTTCAACAAAAAACCAGGTAGTTATTATAAAATAAAGAAGAGGTGAACTAAAAAGGCACATTTGCTTAAATTTCGAGTGAAATATTGTGAGAAAAAAAGTTTATTTAGTTTTAAAATATATTCACAAGCTTTAAGTGTTTTTTAGGTTTTTGTCTGAATCCAAACTATGTAGAATCTCTAAATATTGATGAGCACAAAACCTGCTCCTGAGGAAAACCAAACAAAAAGCTTTTGTTAAACAGAATGTCTTTTGAGTTGATGCAGTTGTTTTTACTTGCCAAACGTGATCTAAGGCAGAGTAATCAGTGAACCAACTACAGGGTCATTATTGGTGCCCAAGGTTCATTGATGTGTGTAAGGAGTGAAGCTGGTCAGATCCTGTGGTTCCCATTAAAGAGCCATTAAACTGCTCAAAACCTTTATATTGGCTCTGATAGGAAGGTGTCAGATCACACAGCGTGCCGCAGCTTGATGCTTATCGGGCCTGTAAGCTGCATACCAGCCAGGGTGTTCATGCTGAGCCTTATCCATCGCTGAAAGTGCTTGTATTGGACATGTGAGCCTCAGAACTGGATTGAGCGATGGAAAATAGATCGGATGAATCATTTTTTCTTTTACACCGTGTAGAGAGCTAGTGAAAAGACAGCTGCAGGAGACTGTATTGGTGGTCTGAGCTGGGGAAATCCTGCGTCCTGGGATTTATTTGGTGCTATTTTGACACATAGGTCACACCTAAACATTATCACAGCCCATGTTCTCTCAGTTACAGCAGCATTATTCCCAGATGGCAGGGGCCTCTTTCAGCAGGATAAAGTACCGTGCCATCCTTCAAAAATGAAACTGTTGACTTGGTCTCTTGGTACTCACATCTGAACCAACCCAAGCAGATGTGCTGAAAAAAATGAAAAACCAATTATGCAAAAAAAAGTATATTGAGCAAAGAGTCAAGTATATTTTGTTTGATAGATTTCTTTCTACACCCGTTATGAGTATGGTATTTGCTCAGTGTTAAAGTTAATGATGCTCATTGGTTCAAATATTGATTCACATGTAAAGCAGTGCATAAAATGTTGAATTCTTTGAACGTCACTATTGCCACTAAAAAATATTAGAAATATCGACTTGAAGGGAATTCATAATCAATAAGTCGAAGTCTGAATAATGTAGTAGACAACCAGTTGAATCTCTTCTAAAAACTTTATTCATCTCTCACTCCGATCAGCTCCAGCAGCACATAGTCAGCAGCCCTCAGAGTAAAATGACCTTTGTCTTATCTAGATATAAAAACAGAACCCGACTATCCCAGGCTGCTCTAAGACAGAGATTGCACACAAGAAGTAACAAAAAAAACTCTTTCCTATATGATGATTCAACCTTTTAACACATCTCTTCCTGGTTACACTCCTGGAGGTGTTACCTTTTATGTGAGATGTAGAACTTAACCAACATTTGTTTATGAAGACAGAAAGGACACATCGATAAGACACACCAACTCTCATTCTTTGTTTTAAACCACATCAGAAAGTATAAAAATACAATACTGGATCTAACATTTAGTCAATGAGTTACAAAATTTCCTTCAGACTAATTGCTATTTAATATTGATAATTTAATGTATTCCAACTTACTTGACCATAAGATGAATTTCTGATAAGAGTTTTATCATTGCACTTTGCATGGAACACACAAGTATTTGCATGGTAAGCTTTTAGATCGAAGTGTGAAGACATGTCTTTATAATTCACATAAAGAATACCCCCATTTACTCTTTATAAATCTTACTTATGTAAACCTAGAAAGAAACCAATTTAAATTAAAATGCTTTATGGATGTCTCCGTTCACACATTTCTAGTAACTGTAACATTAAGATGAAGATGAAGTAAAACTAAATGAACTGTTTTATTATCTATTGTCTGTGTCTCTGGCACATATCCAAGGAGTGCTTGATAGACTTTTATCAAATTATTTGGTTATAGTCTGTAATGCATATCATAGGAGTGCTAGAAACCCAGTTGTAGACATCGCGTACTCTCCATAGAGCTCCAATAAATGGCGGTGATATCTACGAGTTAAGTGCTGCCTTATCCTTCTTTTTAAAAACAACTTTGTCTATTTAACTAGTGAATATCTTCCGGGCTACATCAAAGCTTGTTCAGTCTTTAAAAAGAGAAAGGCCTATTGAGTCCCTCTGATCTGGCATGGTGTTTGCAACAGATTATAGCGATGGAGGGAACACTCTGAAATAGTGTTTCGTGTTAAGACTGTTTAGCCGGTGACACACCATTCCAGCCTATTTATTTCGGTGGTCTCATACCGTTACTCATTCAGAGCTTTGATCTACGGGGCCAGTGTCTGAACACTCCAATCCTAATTGCCTGTCTCAGTGCTTAAGATCCCTATCAGGATGGTTGTTTGAGATAATGGAGCTTTATATAGAGAGCTCCTACTAATCAACTAGAACTGTTTAATGTCAAACGCGACAAGCGGTCAGTTTGTATGTGTTTGTATGGATGTGCAGCCTCGGGATCATGTAGGATTAAAGAAAAAACATCCTGAAACAAGCCTAATCTGTGTCTATGCATTGCACTGCTTATAACTCAGCACACATCAATAATGTATTACTGCACATATATTCATAATGTATTAGGAAATTTGCAACATGACTGTATTCTTCTCATCTTTTATGCAGTGCACTGGGAGATTTACAGTGCCCATCTGTCTCCAGTCCAACTTGGACATCATCACATGGGTGATGAGTTATATTCACTACTGTCCTCTAGATACTTAAGTGATTGAGGGGATACTATGTATACCCAGAGTTCACTCTAAACAATTTCAAAGTTAATAGCCACAGTAATTAGCTTTTATACACCCCGATTTTTAACTCTTGCGTGACTCTGCAAAACAGGAAGTTAACATGATTAGCTGCGATATTTATTTACACCTTGCTCACACATAAATCCAAATCATTCATTAGAAATCTTATTCGCTTTTTTAATAAAATGTTTGTTAAAAAAGAGTAAACTTTTTCACATATTAGTAACTGCATCGGCTCAGCTGGTAGAGCAGTTGCCTCTCAGCAAGAAGGTTGCCGGATCGAATCCCAGCCAGGGATCTTTCTGGGTAGAGTTTGATTTTTCTCACTGTGCATATGTGGGCTTTCTCCGGGCACTTCAGTTTCCTCCCACAGACCAAAAACATGACTGTTAGGCTAAATGGTAACAATAAATTGCTCCATGTGTCTCTTTGTGGCCTGTCTAGGGTGTACCCCACCCCTCTCACTGTGAATGCTGGGAACCAGTGACCCCAAAAGGAAGCAGCGGCTAAAAGATTATGGATGAATGGATGGATTGTACTTGCCAGAGTAGGATGGTGCATACAGAAGTCTACCTAATGCTCTTGTGCCACCTTCTGTATTTGAATACATGCAGATTAAATGAGTTTAATTGTGGCACCATTTTTTTTGTTAAAACACCAGGCAACAAACTATGTTTTGACCCATCTTAAAGGCACAGTGTGTAGGATTTTGTCAATTCTTTTAGCCAAAATTGAGATAATCACTAATGACAATAATAAAAACATGTCTAATCATTGCAGACAAAGACCTTGTTTTATTACTTTTACCTTATAAAAAGCTGTTTATATCTCCATGGTCGCGGGTCGCCACTACAGGCAGCCGCCATCTTGCACCGCCATCTTGTCTACGAGGGCTCATGAAGGACAAACTGCGGTGGCGGCGTCAAAAACGGTTTTAGTTGTAATACTATAAATGTAATATTTGTTGTCTGTCATTGYAGCTGGGATAATTTTACTTATTAAAGCTCATAATCTTACCACTTGAAACATCACTAGCCCTGAAGCTGCTGGTAGACATCGCGGTTGGAATTATCAAAGGTTTTTGACACCTGAGAGACACCGTAGCAACTCCTTTGCATTTGGAAGCGGGGGGTGGGGGTGGGGGGAGGACCAGGGAGGATGATTCAACCACTCAACTACTAGATGTCGCTGAAAACAACAAATGCTACACACTGTGCCTTTAAGAAAAAATACTGTGACTGGTCACTGCTAAAAAGCTTATGTCAAAACGTGACACATCAACTAAAGAAAAAAAAAATCAAATGGTTGTTGCAAATGTAGTGCATATGCAACAAATCTTGTTATGTATATAAAGTATATATATATATATATATATATAATATATATATATATATATATATATAATATAAAATATATATATATATATATATATATATATATATATATATGATTTATTTTTTTAAATGTTCAGTTATTGGAGGGTAGCCACTCACAAAAGATGTACAAAAGAAATCTTGTTGATTGCATAAAACAATAATAGGTATACGTATAAATAGCATCAGGAAGTAAAATTGTAATATAAAAAATCAATAATTTACAAAAAACACATCAGTTTGTTACTTCAAACTACTGTAAGAAATGAGTTTGTGAGATTATTTGATTGAATAATAAGTGTGGGACTCACACACAAGAAAATCAGGCGTTTTTCCTTTTTTTCCCAAACAGAGTTGCTCGTCTCAGGACAACAATTAGCTGTCAGCTCAGGCCGACCTCTCTGACAGTTCACCACAGATACCAGATTGATGTGAAAGCATGTATGGTTGATTAGTAGTCCATGTCTTATTCACCCTCCACAGGTTCAACGATAAAGTCAAGCACATTAAGATTCTGACCAAGGATGGGTGCTTTTACATTGCGGAGAGTCGGCTGTTCAAGACTGTGCTGGTAAAGGGTTTGACTTTGAATGGATTTTTTTTTTCTTTGCCCTACATACTGCAGCTGGATTAATGAGTTAGACTGTTTCAACATTACTTCTAATTTCTCTATTATATTTATTGAATTTTTAGAACTAATCGACGAATATTAAATGGTTGATTTGTTTTGCACATGAATACATTTTCAGTACAGACTCATCTTGTACTAAGATCAAACTAACAGTTTGCTAAATAACATTCCCATGCTTATTTGCATTATTTTCCATTTTTTTGTACACATTTCAAGCTAGCAAGCTTAGTGATGTGAGGTGTTAACTTTGTGTTTTGTCTTCTTATGCTGATTTGACACAGGACTTGGTGGAGTACTATAAACAGCACTCTCTGAAGGAGGGTTTCAGCAGTCTTGACACCACTCTGCAGGTTCCCTACAGAGAACTGTCCAATGGAAACATGCCTAAGGCCATTACCAAGGTTGGCAGTGGTGAGTCTGCTTCACAAACATCCAGGTTCCTTTCCTGACACTATCTGCCTGACAGGTGGAAACACTACAGGCTCAGATCATATCTTGAGCTGGTTTATATCTGAAAGACATTCTTAGCAAGGAATTTGTTTTGACCTGTTTCAAAGACTAGCTTTTGTGGCTTTTTGCTGTGAAAACATATCAGATAAAAAATACATTTTCCCCCTTTGAAATGCCATAATGCCTGCCAGCTGGGTATAACAGGAATAGCCAGTGGTAAGCAATTATAGCATTTCAAGTCATCACTTAGAAACAATGGAAGTAATATGAAGTGAGAAACAATTGGTGAGTCAGTCTATTCAGTTATGCACAGCAGTTAGATTTTATTGAACAAGGAAGGCCTTTGTTCTTCACACTCCATAATGCAAAATCTACAAACTGTCAAAATAAACAGCTATAGCTTTGATTTATGGAACAACTTATCACATGCACACACAAAGTCAAAGCACTTCCTTTAGCTTCATTTCAATATTTATTATTCTTAATAATTTTTGCTAAATGCAGATTTCTAAATCTAGTTTGTATATTAAATCTTCATTTAAAAAGAAAAAAAATATATATATATATATATATATATATTTGTGGCAAAATGCAGATTTAATCCAATGAAAAAAAATGAGGCCAGTAGCTCCTGACCAAGTGTGACGAGCTGCCAGTCAGGTTATGTGGACCAGAAACAGCTCACACATGCTTTGTTTGTCACAGTGACCTCATACAGTATAATAACACAGGATGGACACCAGCAGGTTGATTTGTTTCACAGGACTCCTTTAAATGGTAATGAATACAAAAAACACTTATCTTTTTAGAATATTAACTGTGTTTGACAATGAAACAAACGTAGCAGTACTTGCTGTTCAGCACTGCTAAATGTTCTTCAAAACAAAAAAATATAATAATTTGGCTTTACACTAAAGCATAAGGTGCCAGGTAAATTAATATCCTGCATAAAAAAAATTACACACGCCAATAAGTTTGATATTATATAATGCCTAGTAGGCAGAGAAAATCATAAGATTTTTATTCAAACACATGCTTTTTGTTATGTTTTATGAAACAAACATGATAAAGCACTAGTTCTTTGACGATGTAAGCAGTGTTTGTTCCTTAAGTTATTGCATTTCCTAAAGCAATTCCTCGCTGCATGTTAAACAGCTTAAACGGCTACAAAAACACACACACAAAAAAATAAACAATAACATGACATGGCATATGAGACGATAGAGAAAATCGAAAACACTGTGACTGAGAGAGAAAAAAAAAACAGAGCCTCGGCAGCTCAACGGGCTTGGCAGGGAGGTCCCAGTTAGGGCTCAGCGCCTCAGGCAACCACCAGGAGCCCGCTACTTCAAAACATCACACTCCACACTCTGCTTAGCTCTGAGATGGCTTCACAATCTTACTGACAGGACATGACATTCCACTTGGGCTGGCTGCAGCAAAATAAATAAATAAATAAGATGTGTGACAGCCGTCTGCTGACACACACCTGAGGGAATACCCCCGGTCCAACTGAGGGAGCATGACTTTTTCCACAAAAATGGAGGGGAGAAAAAAAAAAGTTTGCGAATACAGTCTGATCTGGAAAAGCATGAAGCAGCTGGAGGTAAACTGTCTTAACTTTAAGAGAGATGTATGAGTAAACAACCAGCAGCCGAGGCGAGCAGATGAGCGCAGGAACAAAGTCAAAGTTAGCCTTTTGTTACTGTGTGGATGTAAAATTCTGCTGCGTTTTCGTCGCTCGGCTTCTTTTGGCGGATTTGGTCTCTGAGCGCATCGGTCTTCAAAGCAGCTCTGTAAGAGGTGTTTTTGTGCATTGCTGCCATTCATTGCACAACTTTTTTTATTTTCTCATGAAGCCTTGACAGACCTGCCATCGCCTCAGTGCATTCTGGGATGGATTAATATTGCCTTAAGTCGTCCACCCCCGTAGACAGACTAGTGTGGGCATTGTATTCTCTGTCAGGTAAACAGCCTCTGTGAAAAGACAGATGTCATGCAACAGCAAAAGAAAAGGGGCTGAATCTCAAAACAGGCAGCACATTGCGAAGAAAAAAAAAAGAATAATGCAAGGCTGTGTGAACGTACACAAACTGCAGAAGCTGCTGAAAAGCCATCAGAAATCAGGAGAAATGTGCTTGGAAAATCTCCAACAAACATGTTTAATTAAGTCTGACTGTGGGCTTCTTATTCTGGATGCATCTGAATGCTCAAAACAGGACATTATTTGGAATGCAGTGATAATTTTAATATGTCAGAAAAAAATCATTCTCTAGTTAAGAGGGGTGGGGGTATTTTGCTAAATGGTCTTTTTTGAGCTTTATATCATGTTTATAATGTCAATCCCTTATCAAAAACACACCCAGAGTGTTGCTTTGACTCATACGTGCATGTTTGAGAAATCCTTGAATCTCCTGTGGTAGCCACGTGGAGCTGTCTAAAAGTTTAATGGTACGAAGCTCCGCCCATTTACACTAAGCTCCTCCCTGGAGACAAATCAGTGCCAATCACATTCATACACTGATGGGACACACATCAGAAGCTTTAGGGGTGAAGTATCTTGTCCAAGCACAAAAACTGAGACAGCTGGACGGGGGGATGGAACCCAGGAAGACTTCCCTAACCACTCTGCCCCCCACCCCACCCCTTTAAGGTTTGTTTTATTTGTTTTATGATGTAATATTTGTAGAAACAGTTTTTAGAGGTCTATAAAACAATTAGGTCTAAATGTTATTGACTTGAAGTACAACTTGCAGTTGTTTCACAGTGTTGCGTAAGCTTTTCAGTTGTTTGTATGGCGTTTAGACAGACACTTGCCCTGCACTGGCTGCTGCCTGTAAGGGAGAAAAGAAGGAATATAACCATATTGTTGTGTTAACAGAAGAGGCTGTTTGCTCAGTGTAAAAGTCTGCTGGCTCAATCATTTCACATGAGTCCAGAGATGGTTGTTGACTCATAATATGGAATCTGAGACGTCTCCTTGTCAGGGCCTCCTTGCACTTACCCACCTGCTGTTGCTTTGGCTCACTTCAGCTGACACTGAACAAGGTAGTAATGTTGATTTGTTGGTTGAACTGCTGATATATTTTCACTAAGTAGGCAAACGTACAGTATGTGGATGGTCAAGAATTTCTTAATAGAAATTTGCATTTGCAACTCCAGTTGATGACTATGTGAACAGAAGATCCATCCATCCATCCATCCATCCATCCATCCATCCATCCATCCATCCATCCATCCATCCATCCATCCATCCATCCATCCATCCATCCATCCAACCATACACCCCCCACCCAATGGGCTCTATTAGATGCAAAGTTTCAATGACTATTTGACCTCCGCCCCCAAAAGCCAAACTCCTCACTCTATCCTTAAGAATGAACCTAGCTACTCTGAGGAATAAGTGCATTTCAGCCACTTGTATTTGCAATCTCATTCTTTGGGTCACTGCTACACACAGCTCTATCTTTGCCACAACAGCTTGTTACAGCTGCCCAACCCACCACTCCACCTCCACTTGGGACAACAACTCATTCCCAAACCTGAGTGGGACAATCAACACTTTTCGAGTTGAGGACCATGGCCTCGGATTTGGAGATGCTGAATTTTATTCCAGCTGCTTCACACTCGACTGCAAACTATTTGCGCGCCTGCTGGAGGTCTGGTCTTGATGAGGCCAGCAGGACCACATCATCTGCAAAAAGCTGCAATTTGCAGTCTCAGAATCTAGAGACCTTCTGGTTCTTTGGCTTCACCTAAAGGTTACAGTTATAAATAGAAATAGTGACTAACGGCAATCTTGGTGCTTTCTTACCAGCAGCACTGACAAAATGAACCCAGGCCTCACTTCAGCTGGACAGATATTAGATGGCCTGAAACCCCAAAAGCCCAAAGTACCACCCATAGAACACTGTGATAGACACGATTATAGACCTTTTTCCAAGTTATCAAAACACATAGAGACTTGTTAAAGACTAAATAATTAGAAACTCAATACAATACATAGATTTGCTGAAAATTGACATACACTAAAACTATTTTCAAAGGCTTGGCAGTTCTGGAATGTGGCTACAATAATTATTAATCTGTGTCTACTTTGACATATATGTTGAGGAACAATTTAACTAGCTGAAAGTATGAAAACATGCGTTTGTGGCAAAAGAAAACTCAAACTAGCATTAAAAGAGGACTAAATGTTAAGAAGTGTGCAAATGCGATGTGAAATGACAATTTGTCTGATGGTTTCATTGTTCAGTTCTCCGCCAGTATTTTCTTGTTTATTGACTTTGACAACTTTTCTCTCTCCTTTACCCTCTCACACACCCTCTCTTCCTGTCAAACTTGTGTTTACTTTGCTTGTGTTCTCTCTTTGCTCCCACTATGGCCTGAAACCCCTCCTTCCCCTCTCCTCACACCCACCCCGGCTCCCCCTATCACTCGCTATGTTTCTCTGTAGTTCTTCCTGGCGGCTGCAGCTTTGTTCCTCCTTCCTTCTCGCCTTTCTGGTCAGGTACAGGTGCAGATTGTTTTACTCTTTGTTGCTCCTTTGCTCTGTGTTCACTTCTCTGGGTTTGAAACGTTAACTGTCTTGTTTTTATTTTATTTTTTTAACATCTTTGTCAAAGCATGTAATCCAGGGATGTGCCTATTGTCTTGTATTAATTACATTGTATGTTTGAATAACCTCATTGAAAACCATATTAACATGATAATCATTTGTGTCAAATGAGATTGAGTTTCTTTCAATTTAATGCTTATAAATGGAGGAGTATGGAACGAACAAGTGGCTATTAACTGCAAAGCTATTGCTTACATCCAAACGCAAGACCAACATTTCAACTAAACAAGCAAAACATAAACTTTGGTGGTTTTATAAGCTAAAACAGAAAATAGTGCACAGAAATAGTTAGCAATATCTTAAAATAACAAATAATTTTTAAAAAAATAAACAATAGGGAAGTTATTCTAATTTTTGTTCTTTCATTACTGTTTTTTATGCACATTTTGCATTAGAATTGTTGAAAGGGACAGCAAAAAAAGTTAAATTTCACAACAAAAGTTTTTACAATTGTTTGATGGTTATTGGATTTTCTGAGGAGTTAATGCGTAAAAAGGGGAGATGCAAACACATTTGTTGAATAAGTTCTGACGCTTACTTCACATTGATCAGCTGTTTAAGCTGTTCGCGTCTTCCTGGATATTCTCATAAGAATTGCATTTATTTCTCTATGTCTCCAGACAGCACGTAAAAATGCCTATTGCCCGATATCAACACATCCCTGAAAACTTCTCACTGTTGTCCCGAGAAGCTGGTTTGCAACCTCTACTTCCTTTTTATTATTGCATAACATCAACATTTGTTGAAATTACAGTTTTCAAAACCTGGTTGATTCGCTCCAAACCACTAGATGTAATGGAAACACGCCTGGTTTATATTTCTATATTTTTTGTGACATTTTAAAATTTGCATTACAATTGAATGGAAACATGGCTAATGGGAGTATTGTTTGTTTCTGCTGTTTTGTGTGCATGTTCATGCTCTGTATATTCTGCTATATAGTATCTGTAGGCCTGAGTTTTTGTCTTGGTACAATGTGGCTTTGTGTGCTTGTGGGTGGAAATCTGTTCCTTTCATCCAGCATATCTTCACAGTTGTGCCGTCTGTAATTTTACAGATAAAGTAAGCAAACCTTTTCACACTTGTGTTCACATATGATATGAGCTCTGACCCACATGTGCAGGAATAATCTTGTACAGCCTGATAAGTGAGAATACATTGCGTGGATTGACTTCAGAATTAACTTGCAGCACATGACCACAATAACCCCTGACCTCGTATGTTCACTGTGCGTCAGGCCCTTTGAGCTGGGTTGCTGAACATTTCTCCTTTCTTACCGGTTAATCACTTTATTCCTTGTATTTCTGTCGCTTTTTATTTGCTTTCCCACCATGACTCAGAGCTATGAGTCAAGGCTTTTTGCTGCCCTATAATCTGCTCTTGTGTCATGCACTGTACCCATTATCCATACAAAAAGAAACCTCAGACATATTTCTGTAAAATAGATGTGTTTAAACCAAGTTCATTTGACCTGAAGTTGCACTCAAGTGAACTTTTTGTATTAGCATTTTATTGTCACCACATTTCAAATACAATAAATAAGTGCTCTTTTTTATTTCATCTATGAACTCCACTACACCTGTAAATCAGTTGAAAAATTGTCAGCTAATTTTCATTCCTGAATACTTCTTTGTGACACTCCAAAAGTCTTGGAAACCATTTGTAAATAGATCCCAGTGATAATATAATATCCTCCTCTGTCTCAGTCTTTTCTCCCAGAGAGGTGGGTGTCGCAGTAGCACGTTATGACTTCTGCGCCAGAGATACACGGGAAATCTCTTTACAGCAGGGAGACGTTATCAGAATCTACACCAAGATGTCTAACGGGTGGTGGAAGGGAGAAAGTGACGGCAAGGTAAGCATATCTCAACACTTTAGACTGTTATTTGAAACTTAAAGTGTCGGTGACATCAAATATTTCTAATAAATATGAATGTAATTTTGGAAAAATAGCATTGATAATAAATGGTAAAAATGATTTCATGCTGCTGAGATGAACAGTTGTTGAGATATTTGCATTTGAAATAACAGGAAGTGATGTCAAAGTGGAATGTCTGAATATGAACAGAGCATTGCTACAACAGCTAACAACACAAACTGTAGAGAAGAATCTGATGTTTCTCTGGATTATTTTAATCACTATCATAGAGAGATAAGATTTTGTTTCTCAAAGTGTTCCCCTTTGATGTCACTTCCTATTTTACTTTGGCTGAGCCAAATTCAAAAGAAAATATGCCAATTATATGACATAACGGGTAAAATCATGATTATTATGCCAAATTTCTTGAATAAAAATGTATTTTCTTTGACTTTTTGTACTTCATGGATATGCATGTCACAGGTACTTTAAGCATTTTGTTTTAAAATTTGCACCCTTGCAAAGAAATGGGAGATGATAAATATTACAGAATATTTCAGGAATTCTGAATGATTGAGGTTTGACTGATCGAACTACGTTCTGAGTTAAAAGTATTGTTCAACATAGCCTGTGTGTGGAAACGATTTGCATTTTTTTGGTTAGTTTTGACTGACCATGATATTTAGGTAGCAATAAATAATACACACCCAGTGCGTACGTATCGAGCACTAACTGGATACATACCTGCTATTACTTCAGATTGTAAGTCGCAAAAAACATAAAATGTGTCATGAAGACGGAAAAAACATAGAATTTCCTTCTGAGTATTAGTTGCGCCTTAATAATTATATCAGAACAGACATTTAATCTGGAATAACACCACACAGAACACAGCTTCTGATGGCAAATAGCCTTAAATAACAGATTACAAAAATGAAATAAATAAATAAATAAATAAAAAGTAATCGTTCATAAATTGTTTAGTACCGTAACTTTTTTTCCCAAACAAGTTCAATCAAACAACTCCACCAAGATACTAAGATACGGTACCAACAACAAGCTACCTTTAGCTACCATTATTAGCTTACTGTCCTCAGTGTCATCCTGCCTTCTCGCCATTAGTTTGGTGTGGTCCATTTTTGTTGTGTTGCAAATAAAAGAACGATTTGCACATTTGATTTTGACCCCCACCAATGCTTACAGTGAGGTCGCTCTCTACTTAATGCAAACATGACCAGGCCCAGTGCTTCCAAACAAGCAAGTTACCAGGAAGTTCACCAATCTCTGTCCACATCACGCGATTAGCTTTCTTCATTTTCTTCAGTGCAGTAAGAGAAACCTTTGCTTTTTGCCAGTCCCTCACAAGTTTCACGTTTTTTAAATCGGTGCAGAAACAAGTTGGCACAAGCCTAGAGCGCCCTCTAATGACTGCAGAGTGCAATGTTTATTTCTTGGTTCATGTCAGTCAGAACTAAACACATCAGTCAAAAGTCATGAAGAGGAAAAAAGCACGGATAAGTCATTTCTTCTTATAAGTCCCAGGACCAGCCAAACTATGAAAAACAGTTTGACCTATATTCGGTAAAATACAATTTTTATTTAAAAGTAGTTTAAAATTTGATGGCCACTCTATGATGGGAGGGCCTAGGGTGTCTTGCTACGTGATGCAGTTGTCAAATAAATTTTCTGAAATGCTTTTTTTTTTTTTACTTTGTATGACTATTCAAAAATGTTGAGGCTTTTTTGTGCAAAGGTTCATAAATGTCCAACATTCTCTGAATAATTGTTTTCTGTTTTACCTACTTTCAGGTGGGCTGGTTTCCCTCAACTTACGTGGATGAAGAGGACTAACTGTGCTGTCTAAAACTGACACATCCAGTCGTGTTTAGAGATAACCAACTCAAATACAAGTCAAAGAACTCTACCTCTCTCTGTACCCTGAGTCACATGAAACTCGGCTGAAACCCAGAGGACCAGACAGGAGAGGAGGTGGCAGTGCCCTTTAAAACCTTCTCCTGGCCTCTGGCAGACTCTCACATGAGGGAGAGGAGCTTGTCACAACACAGACTCCAGAAGTGTCACGCCATATTTTACCCCACTGTGGTATTGTCTGCCCTTTAGATTCCAACTCAGCTTTCTGTTATTATTGATGACTCCACTGGTTGGTGAAAAACCTGTCTCCACTGTCTTTGGGATGGCCCAGTCATCCACCTGAAGCTCAGATCCTGCTGACTGTGCGCTGACCTGGTACGCCGCTAAATCCAAGCGCCAATGAGCTTCAACTATAGCTGCAACACCAAAACTCTTTAGTTGTTTTTTTTTTTCTTTCTGATTTTTAAAACTTGAGAAACTGGACAAATATAAATCTTTATTTCATCCAATTTGAAGCTTCTTTTAGGAAAAAAAAAAGGAAACGTTTTTATTATTACTACAGCGTTACAGACTGTTTTATTTATCACATCCCGTTCACTCATTTTTATGGTAAATGGGTAACAGTGTTACAGTTCTTTCATAAACTATTATCCTTTGCAAGTTTTACAAAAACTTGTTTTTATTTGTAGACAAACTTTCACACCATTGACGGCAGAGCTGCAAGGTGCTTGCAGCCTCTTGGAGAAAAGGGGGTTTCAGTGTCTTGCTCAAGCATGTTTTGAACATGCAGGAAAAAAAAAGGTGGACAATTGTTCCAACACTTAAAGCCTGGGCCTCTATAAAAAGAAGAGAAAAAGAAAAATCTGCTTCACCTATGACTTGCAATAATGTATTTTTTTTAATTACACTTATGCACAAAAGCAATCAAAGAGGTAACAAAGGCAATAAAAGCATGTGAGGTGTGTGTTGTTTAATTAGTTGCTCTGTACCTCACTAATCTTTTTAGCATTTTGTGAAAACCAACACAAAAAAACCCTTTTACATTCCACAGATTTTGTGTTTACCTCAACTCTTTTTAGTTTCCGAATGAGTGACTCAAGGGTGATGTAACAGCTGTTCACTGTAGAGCAAGGTGGTACCGGGCATTAGGCGATTCGCTTTTTCTTTCAAACGTTAACACCCCGCTAACCATGTGTGTAAAATCAATATTTAATAAAAGCACACTTTGAAAGTACTTTTGAAATTCAATTGACTATTTTTCCCCCCTTTTTAAAACAAATGTTCTACTATAGCTAAAGCACTAGTCACATCCCAAATCACAGCCGTGTTGGACCTGATGTTCTGATGAATCAGAAGGTCTCAAATGACTGAACAGAGTCAAACACGTGAAAGTAATTATGTTGGAGGAAGGTTGGCATATTTCAGTCTTTGTTCTTATTTTAATGTGATTTGCTGAAAGCGAAAACAGTCTTTGCCTCCATTCATTTGAAGCATATTGATGCCGTACGCTCTACAGTTTGCAACCAAGTTTTCTTTTAACAGACAAACACCAGGTTTGGATTTCTCCCAGTTTTCAGCAGACATTGACAGTGCATTTGCTTTTCAATCTCTATCTGATTACTTTTGGGAAACATCTCAAACGTTCTTCATCTTTGCATCAAAAACGTCACGTAAGCAATACCTTTACAAAAAAGTTGCTTAGTTTTATTTAAAGAACACAAGTTTCTACAGGTCATTTTCAATGCTAAAATCACAAAAGAACCAAACAAACATTTATTGGAAAATTGCAAAAAATGTTTATTTAGATTTAAACCCATTTTAAATTAAATGCTGATGTGCAGTCCTTGGAAAAAGGATACATAAATTGTCTCGCAATAAAAACCAATAATTAATTCCTATTTGTTTATAAAATGTTCTCTTTACCATTTTGAGTTGAGGCCTGTAGCACTGTGTATATGTTTACTCGGAAACAAAATGTTTGGCCGTTTCTTTCTCTTTCACATTTCAAATGCCTCAACTTGACATTTTTCTAAAAACTTTGGTGCCCTGCCTTTCCATCTCTGAGTTTTCAATGATGTTACAAGTGATGCCTTTTTTTCCCCCACAGAAGTGTCAGTTGGGGGGGGGGGGGGGATCAGGGAGGATGATTCAACCACTCAACCACTAGATGTCGCTGAAAACAACAAATCCTACACACTGTGCCTTTAAGTCTAAAAGTTGTATATGGAGAAATAGGCAAATATATTGTTTTGATTAAAATGTTAACAAAAATTGCAATTTGTCAAAATATAATGAATAAAAGCCNATTATAGTCAGAATAAGCTAAATATTTTGACTGAAAAACAACTGCAGAGTTGAGAACATTCAGACAAATGGAGTGGAACTAAAATTATATAAACTAAAATAGTTACAATATGATTGCAAGGGTGAACATTATTTATTAGAAATTAGGACTTCATCTAAATAACTGACCCTGATGCACACTTAAAATGTTAATTGTGCACAAGATGCAAAACACCTCGAACCCTTGTTAGTGTGACCATCATTAATAGAAAAATGCTGTGTTTCCATGATAACAAAAACATTTGTTGCTTCTTGTGTTTTTAGACACTGCACAGCTCCTCTAAGTCACATTTAAAAATGCTGAGAAAGATAAACTGCATAAAAGTTCTTATGTGAACAAGGTTTATTTGTCAGGCAGTGCTCTCAAATGTAATTTTTCTTGCAGAAGGGGATTTTTAAATTTGCTTATATTACGTTTCTTTTATCTTTTGTATCAGGACTATATGTTTTAAGACAGGAATACACTTGTGCATCGGAACCTCACAGTATCAGTATTCTCACAATGTCAACGGCCCTTCAGGCTTACTTTCCCCTATGATTCTCTGCAGCCACTATAATGACCAAACTGAGCAGAGGGAGGACTCTGCTGCTCTAACAGTAAAACTCCTTGTCACAAAGAGACAGAAAAAAAATGCCTCCTCTAATACTTCCCCCCTCCTTAACCTGCCTGCTCCGGTCTTTGGCATAAAGATGAAAGAGAAGTTGGACAGAAACAGGGGAGGAATGGGTGTCCAAGTTTTGCATTGAATAGATAAAGTGTGTGGGAAAAGAACACGAGTTGTGTGGAGAAGGAGGAGAGGGAAAGAAAGCAGATCCTGCATCATTTTCCTCTGTCTAAATGATCTTAACACCAGTCTTCTCCAGTCATCATCTGGATCTTTGTACAATGGTTACACAATGATTTTAGAAAAAAAAGGCTAAGCTTTCCTTTACAGTAAATACCCTAAATCCATCTCTAAAAGAGCAAGGCTCTCCAAAAGATTTTATCTCTTAGATTCATATTCAGCTGCTGACTTGAGACCATCAATCACTGCATTTACAGAGTCCTGTGCTGTGTTCAGGGAACATATAGCTGCCTGGCAATAGAAAAGAGGACAATATCTGTAAGAACTATTTGATGGACAATTGTGACAAGATGTCATCACATGCATGTGTGATTTTTTTTTAGATTATTATACAACAGTGTAGTTTTATGGCTCACACCCTCATCATGTTCTTTATATGTTTAATGTTTTCACCCATTGAAATCTTTAATTATAATTATATAATTTAAAACAGATTGTAACGCTTCATTGTTTTAAAGTGTACATTCACATTGATCAGCTTCATTTATTGCCTAATCGTGTTACAGTTAAGACATTTAAATATTAGTATGCCATCAGTTTAAAAAAATCTGAGTAAAAGGGTCATCTTGCAGATGTCATTTATAAATCATTAAAATGGACAAGTGTTTTCCAGGCACATAGTTCAATTCAATTACAGTTGTGAAAATAAATTCGATTTTGCATCATACACCTGGAAATTGGCCTCTGTTTCTTTAAGAACCTCCTACCATTTCTGACACTCCCAGTTCAGCACACCTTCACAATGCTTTGGGGGGGAGGGGTGCTCTGTGGGGCAGGGGCTTGGCTGTAGACTGAGCTCCAGGGAGGAGCTTTGTACAAACAGGCGGTGCTTTGTACCAGCAAGAGTTTAGGAAGCTCCACATGGCTATCACTGGAAATTCAAGGATTTCTCAAACATGCATGAAGGAGTCAAAAGCAACACTCTGGGTATGTTTTTGATGAGGTAATNGTGTAAATAGGCGGAGCTTTGTACCAGCAGGTGTTTAGGCAGTTCCACATGACTACACCCTTTAAATACATCTTAGTGGCTTTATGTCTGTCCATCATATGGATGAAGGCACGTTATGACTGTCTAAATGTTTCCACTTGTTTCTAAAGGACGGGCACACCAGGCTGACTAAAATACATATGGGAGGGCTCACTGCTGTGAATCGCTTGTACTTTCTGCTACTTTCTATGGTGCACAGCTATTTTCTAATATCCACACCAGCCAACGTCCCTGCAGAATTGGTTATTGCTTTGGCACAGTCTCAGTCTGCAGGGGCAGGCTGCTTGAAAGCTGAAAGGAGCAGTCTATTTATATTACTTCCCACTATGTTGTTATGTTGAGGTGATTTTATTGTGAATGACTTAACCTGATCAGACGTACCCTGCATCAGGTGAAGAGTTAATAACTGGGTATTTCAACGGTTAATAAGTCATTTGTTGATCCAAGATTTACTGTTAGAAATCAAGTGTAGCATGTTGCCAATTTTGAACATATTTTTAGTTTTTGAACTTAGGATTGCAAGTTAAGTCATATTAATGGCATGGATTGTTTACATTAAAGGAGATGGATCATGCTTTTAAATAATTTTTCATTTTGAAATCATTCATTTAGGATCAATGTAAAGTGGAACTGCAATACTTTAGTCTGAATCCCTCCTTTTTAACTTTACCATCCCCTCTTTCACCCCTTTTCTGAGGTGTGTCTCGGATCAACTCATTTTGAGGCTGTATCTTTAAATCCAAACAATCCGGCTAAAAACACAGATTTTACATATGTCCACTTTAAGCCATGACAATTCAAAGCTTTTTATAGCTGAATTATAAAATCTGAAGTGTAAATCCAACTCACAGAAGGATGATTAGCCGTGGCGGCCATCTTGAACAGAACTGACTCTAAACCTTACTCAGTTGTAGATGTTCATCCAGTCATTGATTCTTAGAGTTTTATTCACTTCTGTGCAATGATTCATGAGATTTTTTATTTTTTTAGTGGCCATTTCACAGAACTACATGGGCAAAAACGATCCTGCTCCACCTTTGCCTTTGAGGGGTGGGCAGTGATGAGCCAGGGATGACCCTCCTCCACGGTGATCAGGTGGTGCTGCTGAATCTTCACGAGGAATCTATCAGTGCTGCCCAGCAATTAAGATCTCACAGATCAAAGTGATATAAACGAGCTAATCCTCAGAGGACTGCTGGTCTCTCATCTTTCTGTCTCTGACTTACCCTAGTTACTTCCTTTTGACTCATGGCTCCATGTGCTGAGTGCGCTTTGATGCTTGCCAGCAGTGGGTCTTCTAAATATAAAATGGTGAATAAACGC